CTCCTCCTTCCTTCTCTTTCTGTTTTTTTCTTCTTTCTTTTTTGATTTTAAATGCAGTTATTAGAAATTAAGAAAATTAAGAAATTACGAAAATAATTACATTTTGGTATTTCACATAGATAGCAAATGTATGATAGTTCACTCAAAACCTAGAAAAAAATCTGATTACTTCCAGTTATTATTTTATAATTTTCATAATCAGAAATTATCATCAAATTACTTCTATATTATAATCAAACTTGTAAATTCCCCCCTCTACTTTAGTGAAGAGTGTTTGTGATCGAAGGAGGGAATCCCATTTTCTCAGTAAAGCAGTTCACTATTTTAGAGTATCGCAACATTAGCAAGTTCTTTAAAAGAGCTATTAAGATTTTGTGATCTTGCCCAAGTATAAAGTAAACTTGAGAAGTTTACAAAGAAGGTGATTTTACAAGGTTGTATTTTTTCTTTCCTTTTCCCACACTGTAAGTAATTATTATTTCTTTTTAAAAATATACCCAGTAAAATATTTGATAGGTTTTTAACATTGTGAAAACAGCCCCTAATGACTTAATTAATAATTTCACAGCATCCATAGCTAAAGGAGTTAAATGATATGATACAATGGCATCATCCTTTTTTTTGTTCTTTTTTTTTTTTTTACTTTTAGGCAATTGGGGTTAAGTGACTTGCCCAGGGTCACACAGCTAGTGTCAAGTGTTTGGTCTGAGGCCGGATTTGAACTCAGGTCCTCCTGACTTCAAGGCCGGTGCTCTATCCACTGCGCCACTTAGCTGCCCCAGCATCATCCTTTTAACAGGATTTTTTATATTATCTTTTTAAAAAATTCACAATGTTGGAAAATTTAGAAACACAATAATAAATGAATAGCGTTATAGACTTAAAACATGAAACAAAACTTATTGCCAGTCAAATGACATCAATTCAGCTGAATGCATCTCCAAGTTAATTTACATAGAAATCACTTTATTCACTTTGTCACTTTTGACATTATATACTGATTGCATTCAAGAGTGATGTAGAGTAATTTTGATCCAATTATACTTTTAAAAAACTCTTGCAATTTCTAAACATATTGCCTTAATTGCAAATATTAAGTGTTGTTTCCATTAAGGCCTAATTTACTTATGAAGGGTCAAAGGTTACAGTTATCCTAATAGGACAACCCATCTCACTTAAAATGAGACTAAAATAAATTCAGTCATATCTGGATCTGTTTTTATGAATGAATCTCAATTTTCTCAAGAGCCATTTACTACCCATACTTCATGTTATATGACTTGCTACTTTCAGTTTGTCTTCTGCTAAAGATTTAAAGTGTCAGTCTTGTGCTCATCTCCTTCTTTTAGAGTCCATGAGGGTTTTGTGTTCCAACTAAAATATATCCCTAATATCCTCCCCGAATAGACTTTCAGGAATGGAGGGAGGGAGAAAAAGGGAGAGAGACACAAACAGAAAGAGAGCGAGAGCGAGAGAGAGAGAGAGAGAGAGAGAGAGAGAGAGAGAGAGAGAGAGAGAGAGAGATTGATTTTCCTTTTGAAGGTTTTGAAAGTTCTGCAGAAAAGTTTTCATTCTTTTTGTTCCTTTTTTCCTTTGATTAGACCACAGGAAAAAGTCAGTTGGATTTACCAAGACACAGAACATAGACAATGCTGACAACATCCTAGGCATTACACAAATAAAAGTACTTAGCCTGAGGCAAAGACAAGATAGACACAGAAAAGCTCTTGCCGGTGAAGTCTTTTCTATTTAATCCAGAGCAAGTGGTTTTTATTTCAGAACCAAACCAGATCACACCAGACCAAATCACCCAATTGATCAGAAGGGGCATTGACATTGGCTGATCAGGGCAGCATGGCCAGTTCTTACCTGCCTGAGTACCAATACTGACCAGGTTCTTAGCTCTGACTCTTAAGGGCTGTCTAAAGCAGAAGAGCCTGTGTCATTTCCAGGCCATGACCCCTGGAATTCCATGGGTCCGTTGTCTGGGAATCCTATCAGCTGCTGTAGATATAATTACTGTGGGTAAAACTGTCAGTGCCACAACAAACCAGAACTAATACCGCACCCAAATCCAAACTCAAACCAGAGTCGCCAGCGTACAGGACAATCCCCGAAGGAATGAAAGGACAAAACTTACATAGGTTTCACTTTAAGCAAGAATTGAGTGTGGGGTACCTCTGCGCTGGTGGCTTGCAGGGTAGGAAAAAGGGGATATGCTATCTAGACCTCTTGCTGGATTAGTAACTTTTTCATAAGGATAGATAAGCTTATAGCCCTCCCTGTCAAAATAGGTAAGACTATCCTTGTTGCTTCAGCAGTAAGAAAGGTTGGAAATGGTTGGGAGGGGTGGATAGTAGAGGAGGGGGAGGCTGCAATAAAAACAGGGTTAGAAGCTACAGACAAAGTGGAGTTGTTTTAGCTTTTTGTGCTACTCACAATAGTTACTAAATATTTTTGAGAAGGGAAATGTCATGTTTATACTAGTGCTTCAGGAAGATGGCTTGGGTATTTGTGTAAAGAATGGAGACAAATTTCAAAGGGTATCTCTTCTCTACACACTGTCCTACTTACAGTTCCTCATAACTGACATTCCAGCTCTCATCTTTTTTGCCTTTGTACCGGCTGTCTCCCATGTTTGGAAATAGCCTCTTTCCTCACCTCTGATACTGAGTTGTTCTAGCTTCTTTCAATATTTAACTCAAATCCCATCGCTTTGGAGGAATTTCTAGCTTCGCTCAATTGTTGATGCCTTCCCCTCTGAAATTACTATCCATTGATTGTATGGATCTTATATGTACCTATTTAGTTATATGTTTTTTCTCCCTTTTATGTATAGTGGTTGGTTGATTTGGTATCTATGATAGCATTGTGTCAATTCATTACTGTTTTTATAATAGGTCAATAAATTTCTACTGCAGTAGATTAATATAGCACATTTGGCCTAGAAATCTTTATCGTTGCATTAACCACAAGTTTGTCAGATTTATGATTTGTCATAAGCAATCTTTGATTTATAAAGAATTTGCTTATTCTTATTTATTAATTTTGTTCTCATTAATTTTGTATTCCCTCTGCTTTGTCATTTAAAACTCTTTAAAATCTGTTCTCTTTCATTCTTACTAGGCTTCTTTCACCTTACCTTCCTCTAGGAACCCTTTGGTCTATGTCTACTAATTATCTATACCTCTCATAGGATGCTGCATCTAAGATCTCCTTGTCTTTCCGGGCCTTCCCCATATCTTCAGTACTTTTCCTCCCATCTCCTCTGTCTTTTAGAATTTCTGGCTTCCATGAAGACATAGCTACCTTGAAATTTGCTTATCTATCAATCGGTTTTGTTTGATTTTTCACAGGTTGTGTGTATGTAGATGGATACATATTTATATACTCATACTCACACATGCATAACAAGCTGTCTGTGCTTAATTTTAGAGTTTCTACCAACTAGTACTGAATAATTATTGATCATTAGATTTTTTTTTAATTTGGAAAACAAACTGAATATATTAGATCCTTTAAATTTAGCACATTTTATGCAATGCTTTCAAACTAACTTAATTTCCTTAACCTCCATCAAAATACATGTGAATATAATGCCATATATGTTCGAGGCATAAGTAAGGAGCCAATTCTGCAAATTTGGGGTGTTTCCATTTCTATTTATGTATATTTGTGGGTGGTTTAGATCTTCAGTACCCTTTTATTAACCACAAAACATAATAAGGTAACTGAGCCATTTTGCGACTGAACCTTTAACTTGTTAGTACTAGGGTTTTACCAACTAAGCAGATTTTTCATACAGTCAATCAACATGCATTCATTAAGCACCTTCTACATGCCATGTACTATGTTAAGAACTGGGGAATTCAAAAACATTCAGAAGACAGTTTCTGCTCCCAGGAGCCATTGTGCTTGTTTTTGCATTTGTACATGTGTGATAATCATCTATCTATATTGTATTTTGATGGGGGGGGAGGAGGAAATTTAAATTAAACACATGGATTTCCATGCCATAGTATAAGCCAGGGATAGGGAACCTGCAGCACAAGACCACATGTGGTCGTCTTGGTCCTCAAGTGCAGCCCTTTGACAGAATACAAATTTCGCAAAACAAATCCTCTTAGGCCCTCACTTGGGGACCTAGACAGCCTCATGTAGCCTCCATGCTGCAGGTTCCCCACCCTTGGTATAAATTACTCTAAATTTAAATTATTTTCTAATATATTCATTTTATTTTTCAAATTCAAAGAAATTAATAATAAATAATTTATAAGTGATACTTGGTGCTAAGTTTAAAAACTTTTAGAAAGCTTTCATTCGATATTCCAGAATGGAATATCATATATTATGAAGTTTGAAAATTTATTGATCTTGATTTAGATCAGTATATCTAATGTATAAGTTTTTTAACTATATCAAATATAAAAGAATTTATATTTTGAAGACTTATTTTTGATGGTGGATTTGATCTCCAAATCTTTATTACTTACATGTATAGAAGGGAGAGACAGTAAAAAATTTTTTTTAAATGAAATTAGGTGGTAAATTAGATTTCTAAATTCTGCTCTTCTTGTATATTACTACTGAGTTGGCTGAAAATGTCCTTTTCTGCTCAGAGTAAATATTGCTTTGTTCTGCTATATGTGATTTACATGCATCCATATGTATGTACATGTATGTTTATATATATATATATATGCATGTCTGCTCTCACACACATCTTTCTTTCACTCTTTCTATGACAAAAGCATTCCTAGAATGACTATGACCTGACCCTAAAGAGAATAACTAAAACATGTGTATAATGCCTTTTTTTAATTGCATATCTATATGTCAGATTCTTCAGTTGATTTAAAAAAGAAGGATTTTCTTTGTTTAATTCTTTCAAATTGCTAGATTATTTAATGGATAAATGTTTTTAGCTTTTTTTGATGCTTAATGGTGCTTTTCTTCTATGTGAAATTCACTTATTTATAATAATTATCTTCCATTTGCAGAGAAAAAGGAAGAGGAGGATTTTGCAGAGAAGAGAGCAATAAAGAAACGAATTAAAGAACTGAAAGTTCTAGATTCCAAAATTGCCCAGAACCTTTGTAAGTTAATGATCTTCTCATATTAGTTAAGTGACAGTGTGTCTGCTTTGTTATTTTCTTTTCTCCTTAGGTCCTGTTGTACATTTCTTAAGTGTAGGTTTACACAGTATATTTCAAAAATACTGTTTTTGGGGCAGCTAGGTGGTGCAGTGGATAGAGCTCAGGCCTTGGAGTCAGGAGGACCTGAGTTCAAATCCAGCCTCAGACACTTGACACTTACTAACTGTGTCACCGTGGGCAAGTCACTTAACCCCTATTGGCTCACCAAAAAGCAAAACAAAAAAAAAAAACAACAAACAAAAATACTGTTTTTGTCCCAGGACAATTGAAGTGGTTAAATTCTTGAAACTAAGGAATGGTAAGGAAGGATTTAAAGTATGAAATTAAGCTTACTTCTTCCAAAAAAGGTATTACCTCTTGTATACATTCTCAGAGTGTATGATGACCAAAAGTAGGATAAAAGAATAATAGTATTTTGAAGACTTATTTTTGATAGTGAGCTAAACCTCTAAACCTTACTTATAGTTAAAGAACACAGGGACAATAAAGAAAATAAAAAATGCGTGACAAAATAATTGCCATTATTTCCTCTAAAATCTTCAAAGTCTTTATCGGGAAAAATTGTGTTTCAATATATTAGACATAATTATAGTGCTAAAGCAGAGAGATGAATGGACTTTTAATGAAATACTGACGGACAAGAGGTCAAATATCTTTATATTTCATTTCTAAATGACTACATTTCAAAGGAACAGTAGCTATACAGTGAAATTTTACCAGGCCAGCACATGTATGTACAAGGGCTGAAGGTAAAGGGTAGAAGGTAGTAATAATTCTCCATTCATGTTTCATTATATTGCTTAGATTTAATTGAATTTGTAACTTGTGTGACTTGACAGAATAAAGAGGGTTTGTTTTGTTTTGTTTTGGTACATAATTGTTTCTGTAGTGTTTCATTCCAAGCAAATGATTATTTTGCTTAATCAACAGATCAATTTGCATTGTTTTTATTCTTCTCTTGTGATATAACCGCCCTGGGGGAGGTGGGCACAGAGTGATGAATGTACATTTTGGAATTCTTACCTCTTAAAAAAATTCAAATTCTGTATAATTTTTAGAACTTTAAACATTTTTTAATAGATTAACATCAGGAGAAGTCTTTTATTAAAAGAAAATAGTCAAAAATAACAAGAAGTACCTTTAGCAATGGACAGTAAGGAAATTTAAGGATAAAATTCCATTTTTTTGGAAGCTTAAGATTTATGGAGAAAATCATGAATTTTAAACTTTACTGATTTGCTAATAGGATTACCCTATTTGTGCCAGTTATAGAACCATTGACATTTGCATATATGATAAAGCCTTATCTATGTTGAATTTAGGCTTCTGGTAACATCAGCCTTTTAGAACAGAGGCCCCAAATGAAATAAAGTAATCTATAATAAAGCCCCTTGACAATGAGGGAATTAGTATCACTAAGCTTATTTGTTTATTACATGGGTGATTCATGGAATAACTTAGGTTTTTTTGTCTTACTATGTAAAAATAATACAGCAGATTAGGAGTTGTGAGAAGAAGAGCCTCACAGAAAACAGGGAATAGTGACAACTTCCTGTGGAAAAAGACAAAAAAGTGAATAAAATGTTAGAAGAACTATAGAGTTTGTGGTCAGTTAGTGCTGGAACAAATAGAATGACTTGTCTTAATAGATAGTGAAACCAGGATTGTATTACAGATTGAATGGGTGAAAAAGTACAATAACTAATATTCATTGTGATTCTTGTGTTATCAAGTACACATTAAAATGGTTTTATTTACTATGTATAGTTTGGGTTGGACTGAAATAGCAATAATGTTTCCTACCTCTAAAAAAAGAATTCCATGAAAATTGATTTAAACGTTTGAAAAATTGATGGTCAGTGTAGGAGTAATAAGACATAAAAAATTCATCATTGTTAAATATTTAATTTAAGATACTGGGCAACTGAGAGATTTTTGTATTTTGTATTGGTGTGGATGCATAAGGAGGCAATACTGAATGCGGAAAGTTAGATAACCTGGGTTCAAATCCTCCTCTTTCAATTATTACTTACATATTCTTGGGAAAGAACATAGCTCTGATTCTTGATCTTCATCTTGAAAATAAAAATTTCTTGAGGACTTGAGGGCCCTCAGAATCCCTTTTGTCTAGATCTGTGGTTCTGTGGTCTTTTTTACAGAACCTGCTTAATAAGTTCATGGGTTTTTATTTTTAGAAAAACTTTTTAAATGACTATGAAAAAGCATTAAAATTTTTATGTAGGACTATGTGAGAAATATTTCAGCATGATTAATAAAATACTAATATATGATATTAAAATGCATCAAATCTCATTATTCAAATGGATTTATAATGCATCAAATCTTTATCACATCAAACTTTTTCCATTGTTTTTGTGATTGTATGTAGTAAACCTTAAGTGCGATTCTCTGCAGGAAAATAATTAAGAACATACGGATTTTAGTGATGATTCCCAGAACTGAAAAGGGCCCAAAAGAAGTGCTCAGGAGAAGACATCTCTTGTAATTCTATCAAATTTGTCAGTTTCTCATGTTTGACATGGTATCTTTTTGATAAATTCATTTCTCATTCATTATTTTTATTTGCTCATTCATTTTTTGCTCATTATGTGTTCAATCTTTTTCAGCAATCTTTCTGGGTTCTTTTCGTGTGCCTTATGAAGAAATAAAAATAATGATATTGGAAGTAGATGAAACACAATTGGCAGAGTCTATGATTCAGGTAAACAAACGGAAAGATAGTTTTTACACTAATATATCAGTGAGGTCTTTCATAAAATAGAATTTTTTTTTACTCAATTAAAGTTTTCCTTACTGAAAGCCCTTCTTTAATGTATCACTATCTATTATTTAGATATGTATTTGGCCTTGAGTTTATTTGCATGTTTATATTAGACAATTTTTTATTCATCAATCTGTACAGTTCTATTTGGTGTCCGTTTCTTTTAGGTTATTGTTATTTGCAAGCTTAGGATTTTCAGAAAAACTTAATCTGATACTTCCAAGTAGTTTTTAAAAAGTGTCTAAATCAATAAATAAGAATTTATTAAATGTCTACTATATACTAGGCATTGGGGATAAAAAAAGACAAAAGCAAAACAATTCCTGCCCTTCAGGAGTTTATATTCTCTTGGAGACAACATGTACACATATATGTGTATGTATATATGTGCCTACATTTATGAAATATACAAAATAAATTGTGTTAATTTTTAGGGAAGGACACTGGTAACTATGTGAATCAGATTGAAAGAGGGCATAAAGAGAGCACAGTTGAACTGATTCTTCAAGGAGATGGGTACAGATAAGTGATGGATACAAAGGCACAGAGAGAGGAGAAAGATTGTCCTTTGTAAGAAGCAATAAGGAGACCAGAAAGAAGAACCCCTGAATGCATGAATGGGAGTAATACTTAAAATGGTTGGGAAGTTGAAATTGTCACATAGCAGAGATTCAATTTGATTCTGTAGGCAATAAGTAACCCGAGGAGGGTTGTTTTGTTTTGCTTCATTTTTGTTTTTGTTTTGAAGCAAGGAAATAACATTGTCTGATCTACTACTTTAGCAGCTATCTGGAAGATGACTTGGAGGAGATAAGAGACTTGAAATAGGATGACCAGTTAGGAGTGTGTATCATTGATTGAATGAATAAAAAATTTGTATTAAATGTTTTCGTTGTGCCTAGTATATACTTGTCTCTGAGGATACAAATAAAAAGGAAATATAGCCTCTTCCTTAAGAGTACTTATATTCTGGTGGAGAGAGTACACACCCAGGGGAACGATAGCCTATCAGGTAGTTTAGTCCAGGAAGTTACTGGAGTGGTGAATAGGGCAATAAGTAAGTAAACTGACACACCCTATCCAAGGACAATGGCAGAGTTGACTTGACTGTGGTTCATGGTTCTAGAACTGTTGAGGTCAAGGAAGGAGCTGGTACACACAGATGGCTAAATGGTTGAAAAGCTGTGCAGATGATTAGAGAGTAGGAAGTTGACTGAGCATAGCAGATGGGATTTTTTTCTGAAATAGTTGTCCAACAGAGGTTGTAACCAATAAGAAACAGACAAATACAGGAAAAAAACTCAATAGGTCCTTAGGACAGAAGTTGTTCTAGTAGTTTAGGCAAGAGGTGATATGGTTCTGATCTAGGGTTTTTATGGTGTTGGTGGAGAAGTGGATGGTTTTGAAAGATGTTTTGGATGTAGGAAGGAGAAGATTAAGCAACTAACTGGATGTATGGTGAGTGACAGTTGAAGGGGAAACTGAGGTTTCCAGTCTGAGTGACTAAAAGGATAGTTCCCTTGACAGAAATAGAGGAGTGGGTTTGGGGAAAAGAGATCAATTCTATTTTGATCATATGGAATTTGAGATTTAGGATACATGCCAATTATCTGGTAATTGCCTGTAGAATCTTAGATCACATCTCTCAAATAAGGAATCAGGGGCTGTATAGTGGTGCTTATGGTTTAGGTTTTTTTTTTAATTTTTCTTGATTTTCTATATGTGAAATGCTAGCTGTGATTCTATATGGGAGAGAAATAGATATCCCATACAAAAAATTCCTAGCAACAAGATAAAACCTTTTCTTATTAATATTGCTTTATATACACACATATGTGCATATTATATCAAGTGATATTAATTTATGTTTCGCAAGGTAAGGAAGGTTATCTCTGTCAGATAAAAATTTCTAAGAAGCAAAGCTGTGACCTTGTAGGTTCATAGAAACTTTACAGATCAGGTATTACAGAAAGCATTGAAGAAATGAAAAATTTTGTTGGCCTTGGCATCATCTGCAAAAACAACACTTTGGCAAGACTATAGAGGGCATGAAGATGAGTTATGTGTAACAGATTTGGAAAGTTAGCTTGGAGCCAGAGAGAGAAGAACTTTAACTGCTACACAGAGAAGAACTTTAACAGCTATACAGAGGAGTGTGTATTTTATCCTACTGGCAAGAGGGGTTCAACAGGGTTTTTTTGAGCTGGACAGTGAAATATTCAGACTTGTGCTTTTGGAGTATCACTTTGTCAGTTGTGTGGAGAATGGATTGAAGGAAATGATGCTAGTTAGAAAGCTACTCTAATAGTTTAGGCAAGTGGTGATGAGGGCCAGAACTAGGTTGAATATGGCATGAGTAATGAGAAGGGTACAGATGCAACATATGTTATGGAGGTAGAATTGACAAGATTTTGCAACTGCTTGGATGTGAGGGAAGAGTCAAGAATGACCCCTTGATTATAAACCTGGGTGGCTGGAAGGATGATAGTGCCATTAGCAGAAATAGAGGTAGAGTGGAGGAAAAATGAGTTTGGTTTTGGATATGTTTAGCTTGAGGTATCTAATGGTATACATCCCCTTGGAAGTATCAAGTTGGCAGCTGGTAATGCTGACTTGAGGTAGCAAGATGACTTTGTGGATAGAGTACTAGGCTAATGTCATGAAGATGTGAGTTTAAATTTGGCCTTAGACAATTACTAGCTGTGCGACCCTGGGCAAATCACTTAACCTGTGTTTGCCTTAATCCACTAGAGAAGTGAATGGCACACCACTCCAGTATCTGTGTCAAGAAAAGCCCCGTGGACAGTGTGATCCACGGGATCACAAAGAATTGGACATGACTGAACAATGATAATAAATGCTGACTTTGAGAACAATGAGATATTAGGCCTGGATATATGGATTTTGGAGTTATTGGTGTAGAGATGATAATTGAGCCTGTGGAAGATAATGAGGATTTAAAAAGTCACAGTAAAGAGAGAGAAGAGAAAATGTTAAAGTTTTGTTATGTACCCACAATTAGGGGGCAGAGTATCGATGATGGTCCAGCAAAAGAAACTGAGAAGGAATGCCCAGACAGAGTATGGTAGTCAGCAGCATCAAATTATGCAGTGAAGTCAAAAAGGATGAATGCTGAGACAAGGTCATTAAATTAAGCAACTAAGAGATTATTATTTTGGAGAACATAATTTCAGTTGCATATGATGAATTGACACCATATTGAAAGGGGTTGAGAAGTGAGGAAGAGCAGATAATGGGGACGTGATAGTATAGGTGGCTCTTTCAAGAGTTTGGCTGGTTAGATGGCATGAGATGTGTAACTAAGAATATAAGATGGGAGATAACAATGATAGCTTGAGGGATTGGGAAGGTGGAAGAGATGGTCTGGTAGACTTTGAGGAGAGAACGAGTTTTGAATAGCCATCATGGCAAATGCTATAGAGAGTCAATTAAGGAAGAGTAAAAGTTTTAGGGAGGCAGTGTTGCCTTAGTGAATAGAATACTTAATAAGAGTCAGGAAGACCTGGTGTGAATCCCATCTAAGACACTATGAGACCCCTCAATCTGGGCCTCAGTTTCCTCATCTTAAAAATGAGAGAGCTAGAATTGGTGACCTTTAAATCTGTGATGCTATTATTACTTTGTGGCAATGAGGGCCCACTTGAGAAAAAATAGTATAATTAGATAAGAATGGTGTATATAATTAAAGGCTTGAGTAGGCTGGGGAAAGGATTTGAGAGTGAAGAACATTACATATTGAACATCAAATTTTCAATGGAATAATAGGCTAATGCCAACTTATAAATGGAATAAAGAGATTTTGTATCAGGCTTAGTTGGTAGTGAAATATTCTGTGACACTACTTTTTCCTGCTTTGTTGACCTATAAAACAAAAAGGTCTTGTGATTTTCCCTGGCTTGTGTAGTATTAGAATGACAGGTGCTTTGATCTAAACGTGGTAACATATGACTCTTCTATCAACAGCATTTCCTTGAACAGTTTTTACTACATAGTATACTATCTTATTTGTCTATGTGTGTCATCTTTTTTTGCTGGCTCATAAATTCCTTATGAGCCAGTACATTGTGTTGTATCTGTATTCTCTGTAGCGGTTAGTAAAATTCATTGCGTGTGGTCGACACTCAATAAATACTTGTTGAATTAATGTTTATTGAACGGCTTTGTTTCTTTGTGACTATTAGACGTGGATATTTTTGATATTTGCTTTTGGTATTTGGCTAGAGAAAGAATATGTCCTAAGAGTATTGACCTTTTTAGCTTTTTTGTGTAGTTTTAATATATGTAAAATCCTTAAATTAAATCCATCATTTTCAAAGTTCTCAGATGTTTCATTTAAAAACCTGATCCTCATTTATGATAATTTATTACCCCCAAATTTATTAATCTGTTTTAAAGTACAGTTTTTTAATAAAAAGTACACTTGTATCAGTGTTGAATAGGATTCAGAAATAAACATTTGTTACCTTTCTAATCTTTTGAGATGCTTACCAATATCTTATAATTGTTTCTGGTTTGTTCAAATGTTTTTCCCACAGAAATACGAAGTTTTTTTTTTAATTTTTTTATGTTTTACAGAACAGAAAGTGACTTCAAGAGGTCAGGAGCATGTCGTTTTTCCAGAAATGTTATATATCATAGTAATTTCTTTATCATCCATATTTGTTGTAGCTATATTTTTAATTCTATTTTTCTCACTTTTTTCTTTTAACATGAAACCTTTTTTTGTTGGAAATAATGACTTGGTGAATTTTACCTAAATTTTATGGTTTCCTTTTTTTTTTTTTTTCCAAATTTTCTTCCTTCCCAATAAAGAATCTTGTGGACTTGGACTTTAGTTCCTCTGGAATAGCTGAATGGTACTAGTGGACATGACTTTGGGAATTAAATCAAGATGATTTAACTCCACAGATGCTTCTTATATTCTTAGTTATATATCTCATGCCATTAAATATCTTTTGATAGTTCTACTCTCTTCTTCCCATTTCCAGGGTTGTACCTTGATTTTTTAGGATAAATGTACTACATATTTACTGCCACTAGGAAACATAATTTTAAGCCGGATAACTAGCATAGGTTAAATTGTAGCAGTTGGATCAAATAGTATATGTAGCAGTCATAGACAAAATTGTCTTTTTTCCCCAAGTTGCTAAAAGGACATATAAGGTAAAAGAATATTGGATACATGGACATTATAATAATTTTCAGATGGCTTTTTGAATATGGGATGGTAACTTCCCTTTACCAATTACTGGAAAATCAAAATTGTAAGTAAGGAAGGCAGTAAGCATTTATTAAGCACCTACTGTCTTCCAAGCACTTGTGATAAGTGCTTTACAAATATCTCATTTAATCCTCATCACCACTGTGAGAGGTAGGCACTATTAGTATGTCCATTCTGCAGTTAAGGAAACTAAACCAGACAGAAGTTGAGTGACTTGCCCAGAGTCATGCAGCCAGTAAATAGTTGATGCTTGATTTAAACAATCCTGGACTCTTATCAACTGCATCACCTAATTTCATGGGCCCCCAGATAAGCATCTGCTTTCTTTTCCTCCCTTCAAAATCCAAACAGTGCTCAATTCTTTGAGAAACTCTTACAAATTTTTAAGAGACATTTTCTTAGTTTTTATTTCTTTTCAAGTTAGAAAAAAGTAGATTTAGAGAATTTTAAATAGCTATCATGTAGCTGTAGAACTTTGATTTTTTTTTTATAGTATCAGATTGTGCTTGATTTTAAACAGAAACTGTTGGCTATTATAATACATTTCGGAGTTCATGTAGGTTTGTTTTCATGGGACATAATTTAATTAGCAGAATGAATCACTCTGTTAAAGTTTCTTTGAAACTGCAGGAAGAGTCCATTAGACCTCCCAAATGTGGTGAGGCCCTTCTTTGTCCTTGTCATTCTTGTTTTGCTACCAAGTTATTCTTCTATGAAATGGTTATAATATATGAAGTTATTAATTTAAGAATCTAAAGTGAAGTAATGTCAGATTCAGATTTATGATGAATATTTCAACACCATCCAGTAAATGTTATTTTTCTATTTTCTCTAGTGTCTTAGATACTGGGGATGTTAGAAATCTGAGATGTAAAAATACAATCTCTCACATTTTATAACTTTCATTTTAAGAGAGGAATGAGACAAATATTTAATATTATGTGTTAGGTGCATTTGAAAGTTAAAAGTTAAAAGTTAAAAAGTTAAAAGAAACAACAAAAACCAAAACAAACCCCCCAAACTCTAAAAATCATAATCCAAGGGATAACTTTATGGTCATTGCTTAATAGGGATCTTGAGAAATGTTTCTGGAGTAGGTAGCATTTGACTTGGGCTCTAAAGACTCTATTAGACCTTAGAAGGGATGGAAGAAGGGATGATATGACAGGCATAAAGAAGAATTAGCATGAGTGTTGGTATGGAAGTGGAAAGCTGTGATATGTATTTGGAGGGACAGCAAGTAGTCTGGTTTTGCTGGAGTTTAGTAGTTTGTGGTAATTAATGAGACCTGAGGGTAGAAAATCATGATAGTACTAGACTAGAGAGTCTTAAAGGCAACTCAAAATTGTCTGAAGTAAGATTTTTGAATAGAGGAGTGTTGTGACCATATCTTATTTTTAATAAACATAATTCTGATAGTAGAATGATGGATGGGAAGAAGAGTGGATATGGGAGGACCCCTAGGAAAGCTATTATAAGTGTCTGCTAAGGACATAATCAAGGTGTGGTTCCAAGTAATGACAGTTGGAATGAAGAAGGAAAAGACTTGAGGCAACTTGTGAAGGTGTTGTCAACAGGATTGAAGCAGCTGGGTGGCACAGTGGATAGAAGGCTCTCACTGGTCAGGAAAACCCGAGTTCAAATTTGGCCTCGTTATTACCTGTGTGACCCTGGACAAATACTTAGCCTCTAACATCCTCAGCTATAAAATGAAGATAGTAGTAGTAACACCCACCTCCCAGGCTGGTTGTGAGGCTCAAATGAGATTATTTTGTAAGACACTTAGCACAGCACAAGTGTTTAATAAATGCTTATTCCCTCTCACTCCCTTGCTTGGATATTATAGTTGATATGATGGGTCAAAGATAGCTGTAAAATTCTGAGACTGGTGAATGATGGTGCCACAATATAATGAAGAAGGAAGATGAAGTTGAGCAGGAAAGATGATAAAGATGTTATGGATATTTTGAGTTTTACATGACTTTTGAAATCCCAAAAGAAGCGTTCTTTACTTTTTTGGTGATACAGATTTAGAGCTTAATACTAGAGGCATGAATTTGGGAGTTATACACACACACACACACACACACACGCACACACACACACACACACACACAGAAAGTGGTAAAAAGATTAGAGACCATTAAGGAGACCCTTGAAGGACACTTAAATTAAAATGACAGGAGAAGGATGATGAACTGACAAAGAAGTGAGAGAGTGAGTTGTTAGAAAAATTTAAGGATGATTGGGAGAATTTTTTAGTTTCAGAAGCTATCAGAGAAGGGAGTCTTTAGAGTAGATGAAAGAGTGTTCAACAGAATCAAAAGCTACATGGAAATCAAGGTGTATAAAGATTGTAAATAAAGGCCATTAGATTTAGAAGTGAGATCACTGGTAACCTTTTATAAAAATTTAATTAAAATAGAATAGCTGAAAAAAACCCCACATATTCAATGTGATCTGATGGTCATCTGAAAGATTTGTGAAAAGTATAAATGGTCAAAAAAAGCAGTGGAATTTGGAGGGTCAGTGCTAAAAAATAATTTAAACTAACAAGAGAAATAGATATAATGGAAATAACAAAATCTTTTAATCTACAATAGTTTTTCAGAGAAAGAGAGGGGATTTCTTATTATTTCACTTTTTCAATAATTTCTTATTGGTCAAGGATTTTATTTTTGCTTAAATATATCTAAAACCATCCAAGTATGATATAAATAATTGAATCTGCTGTATCAACTTTTAAGATGATGGAAGAAGGCTAATAGAACCCATTAAAAATGTCAGAGTTTTAGTTGGATAAAAGCCACTTAATTTAAAAAAAAACCTTTATAATATTGTATAGAAATATAAATTTGGCATATAGGAAATTTAGTTACCCTCTATATTGAAGAGCCATTTAATGTTTCCAGTTATTCTGCATTTGAGGTGATTTGGAAAAGTTTGAGAACTTTCAAAATATTAAAAAATTAGAAAGTATAGCATTTTAAAAAAAGTTAACATTGTAATTATGTAGCCTAGGGAAGAGAAAACTCATAATATAATGTTAGAATATTTCTTTTTTTAAAAAAAAGTATGTTTGGTCTTTAGTCCCATTATGATTTTTAGTAATGTTTGTTAGCATAATTCTGTATCAGTTTAGTATAATGTAGAAACAAGTAACTATGATTAAAATAAATTAAATAAATATAAATAAAATATAATTAAATCAATCTCATATACTTGAAGGGTGAATTTTTATATATTAATGATAAATGACTTTTGATAAGGTCCTTATTCTATACTTCTTTTATTTTCTCTCATTTTGATTGATAACCCAGTTTTCTTTATCCAAGGTTACACAGTGAGTCAATGATTTGTAATTTGATCTAATGTCTTTAATAACATTACTTTCTTTAACATTTCTTTAACTAGTATCACTTTTCTGGGAATGAGTTATTCTGTTTGTGTGTCTGGTGTGACAGTGGCATAAGGTCAAAGTTAAATAAGTTACTAACAAGTGCTGAGACTTAAACATTTCAAATGTTGATTTTAATATATGCCTAATTAAGATCATAGTTTGGAATTCATGCCTGTTCATTAGCATTCTTTTTTCTTATACCATTTAAAACTAATACACTAACTAGAACATGTCTATAACAATTTTTTTTGTAAGATAGATCAATATTAAATCTTGCTTGAGGGGGTAGTTTTATCATTGAAGTACAGAAAGTGATGCCATTATTGTGCAGTTTCACCTGTAATGTGGTACCTTAGAATGTCTCATGACTTTATGAACTCTTTCAACAGAAATTCCTCTCTTACTTGGCTGCAAAGGTGTTTTATGTTTCTGTCACATCAGCCTGTATTTCTTTTGGTTATTTGATTTAATTAAACAATGTCATTAAACCCCCTTGACTATTCTTTTGCCCATCAGCTTCTATTTTAGTAGTGAATTGACAATTTTCTCACCTGGATGAATAGTAACTAAGTGATAACACCTATATAGCTTTTTACTAGTAGTGCTTTTAGTAGTCTTACCTATAATTTCTGCCACTTACTTCTTTATATTGAAATATAATGGCAAGATTTTCCAAATTAGTAGGTGCATTCTTCAGAAAAAAAGTTTTGTGTTATTAACAGAGTATAATTTATGTAGTATTAGACATATTCCTTTCCTTTCCTTCCTTCCTTCCTTCCTTCCCTCCTTCCTTCCTTCCTTCCTTCCTTGTTTCCCACAAGTGATTTTTTTTGGCTGTTCATGGGAGATTTGTGATGAAAATTTTTAATATGAATATAAGTCTGTGAAGTGTAGTTTGTAAAGATACTGTTTAATTTCTCTTTCTTTTTTGTTGTTAGAACTTAATAAAGCACCTGCCAGATCAGGAGCAGCTGAATTCACTGTCTAAGTTCAAGAATGAATATAATAATCTATGTGAACCAGAACAATTTGCAGTTGTGGTAAGTACTATTCTTTGAAGTTTGGTCTCCTTTACTTTAGCATATGCGCTGTTATTGTTTTGGAGCAGCTTTTCATGTGATTTGGGTTAGTAATCTTTATAATAGTAATAGTTAATAGTATTTAATTCTTCATTTCAAAACTGTTCATGTCCTTTGACATGACATCCATTGGAACTCTTGACCTTACCTTCTTTTGTTTGTTTGTTCTAATATATTGTGAATATCATGCCTTCATCTGATTCATTTGATTCAAAGATTTTTTTTTTCATTTTAAAAAGCAATTTGGAACTATGCTAAAAAAATTGAATAAAAAATTAATGCCTTTTTAGTCAGATTTCATTTCTAAATATGCACCCCAAGAAGGTAAAGAACTGAAAGTCCAATAATACACTAAAATATCCACCTTTCTTGATATTGTCCATTTTCCATTTTTAATAGTTTATTGTGTTAATAAGAATTGTAAACAAAGCAGATGCCTATCAGTAGAGGAATGGTTAAAAAATTGTGGTACTGCATCATAAGAAGGGATAAGTATTAAGAATTCAGTGAAATATGGGAAGACATGAATGGATGCAAAGAGAAATAAACAGTCAAGAAAACAGTATACGTAATAACAAAAACAATGTAAATAGAAAGAACAAAAAAGAGAAGGAAAAACATTTAATGTTTTTCTAATGTTCAACTTAAGACCTCAAGAAAAATAGATTTCCCTAATTTCTTTGTTAAAGGTAGAGGATAATGGGTTCTGAGCATTGCAAATATATTATATACTTGTATCACTTGCCTTCGTTGTTATTGTGAAGAAAGTGCTTTGTAAATTTTAATGAACTATATAAATGTGAATCATTATTTTTATTATTGTTTTGTTCTTTTGTGTCCCCTAGTGTTCATCTTGGTGTGATTCATATTATGTTAGCTTCACACTGTGTCTGCTAGTTTATCACTAAATCTTCTCAGCTTAAAGAAAAATTCCCTTTATTTTTTATACCAGTTGTCTCTTGATATATAATCACCTCCAATTAAACTGTCCCTTGTAATAAAGGAAAAAAAAGTTAAGCAATATAGTTGATAGAACTCTTTGAAACTATGTGAAACATTATGTACTTGTAATTCCTCCCTGTTTTACTGAAAGAGGATGAGTCTTTTTAAAATCAGATATGCTCCCTTGGACCAGGGATAGCCATTTTGAATTGAGCTACTTTTAGTATTGTTTTATTGGGAAAATAGAGGAAATATTCCAGGAAAATATTATTAAATTTGAATTTATATTTGAATTAAAAGTTAAATTAGCATTAACTTTTAAAGATGAGCAGAAATTCTCCAGTGAAGAATCCCACAATAGCAGAAAGCTAATCTTTTATACTCAAAAAGTTGTATACTTTGTTTAAAGGTAAAAGGACTCTAGCAATGATTGGGAGGTATTAAGGTAGGAAAAAGATTACTGTGATACACTAAAAGGAACAACCACATTTATAGAAAGGAACTGCATATGACTCATTACATCACCAGAAGTTTTAGTGTATTCTGTTCATCAAGGACTCCTTGAAAGCAAGTCAGGTAAAATGGAAAATGTATCTGTGAGGAGAAAGGCAAGTATTTTCTTCAAAGCCTAGTTCAGGAGAGAGAGAGGGTAAAAAAGGCCATGATGTCACAAGCGTCATATTGAAAGTAAACTAATAAGATCGTATTATGCAAAGCTAAAATAAAAAGTAATTGCAATTTGAGGCAGCAAGTTTATTTAGTGAAACTATTAAAATGCTAATAGTTTTTCTTTAAATTAATGAGGAAAAAAATCATCCTTACGTACTACGATAGTATTAAGTGTCACTGAACTATAAATTCTCATACAGCGTTATGTTATGTCACCTTTCTTAGTTAAATAATGCTGAATCCTTTAATTTGTTAGAATTAACAAAAAGGCGGTAAGATCAGAATCCCATTCTATTTTAACAAATTGGGGACCCTCAATAATTAATCTCACTGAAAATTTAATATTTTCCTCTAGTGTTTAACATGTGATGACTTCCTATTGTCAGTCCCTTTAATTAAAAAGGCATCATTCCACTATATTCCATATAGTGTGCATGGACTGTTTTTGAAGAAATTATATGTTCAAAACCAGTATTTTCCTTGCAAATTCTAAATGATTAGTTGTAGTAGACTTTGGTTCTTAGAATTTTAGTTTATATTATTCAAATTTTAATCACAGTCAGAGAGTATGAACATTTTGGTCATGTGCTTAACGTATTACTAAATTGTTTCCCAGAATAGTTGGACCAATATACAGCTCTTCCACAGAGCATTGTATATTTCCATCCTTTGTCATCTTTGTCAGTTTGGGAGGTGTAAAGTGAAACCTCATATTTCATCTGGTTGTTAGTATTTTGCAGTTTTTTTGAGAAGCACTGGTTCACCTCCTTTAACTAGCTCTTGGGGAATGGCTTTTGGTTTTATATATTCTTAGTTGCCTATGTATATTGATATCAGGCATTTATCAGAAATTCTTGGAACATAGATTTTTCCCTCATTCAACTATTTTCCTTATCTTGCCCTCTTAGTTGTATCAATTTAGTTCAAGCTTTCAATTTTGTGTGTTTAAAATTATTTGTTTTATCTTTTGTGATTTCCTCTATCGCTTGTTAAGAATTCACCTCCTAGTCATTGCTATTACAGTACCTCATCTAGTTCTCATCCAAGTTTTAATCATATAATTTTTAATTTTCAGGTTCTATTTCATTTTTTAGTTTATTGTGACCTTTTATGTAAGGTATTGAACTAAACAATTTCCAAAATACTACTATCTAGTATTCCTAGAAATTCTCATCAAATAGTTTCTTCCATAGGTATTTATATTTGGGGATTTTTCAAACACCTGGTTATTAAGGTTAATTCTGTATAATACATCCTATCTAGGCTATTCCATTGATATACGCTTATCTGTATTTTAACCAGTACCAAAATAGTTTTGATGATTGCTGCATTATAATATAATTTGAAGTCTGGAAGTGGTTTTCCCCTTCATTATTCTTCCCCCCTCTCCCATTTATATCATATATTTTAAATCTGCAAATAAATTTTGTTATTGTTTAACTCCGTGAAGTAAGTCCCTTGTTAGTTTAGTACAGTGTTAAATCTATAAATTAACTAAGCAGTGTTGCTATTTTTATTATATTAACATAATCCAGTCACAAACACTTATTTTAAATAACAGGAGGGATATTTTTTATTTATAATGAGGATTATGTTATTTTAGCTGTTTAAAATGGATTTCATAAGCTGACTCTCAGGTGATTTAGGCATTTTGTAGTTGTTTTGAATGGAACTTCTTATATGCATCCATTACATTCTTGATTTTTATTATTGTTGTATAGAAATGCTGTTGATTTTTAGGCATTTAATTTCTTTTGTGCCTTTAATTTCTCCCTTGCCTTATTTTTATTTCATCTCTGGAATAATAGCAGATAAAAGCAAGCAAAGGGGGCTTTCTTGCTTTACTCTCATATTTATTGGGAAAGCTTCGCCTGTTTCGCCCATTGCATATAATGCTAATTTTTTTGTTTTTGATAGATACTTTTTATAGTATTCAAAAAGGTTCTTCTGTTCCTAAGGTGTAGGGATTTTAGTATAAATCCATTTTGTACTTTATCAAAGGCTTCTCTGCATGTGTTCATGATATCATCATGTCTTCATGAATATTTTTAATATGATTATTTATGATAATTAATTTTCTGTTCAAATTTCCTTTCAAATACTCAGTAAATTTAGGAATTCCCTCCAACTACGCAGATTGTAACTTGTCCATGCCTTCCCATCTTTTGAGACTCTTATCCATATCTTCCCAAAAGTTCACCACATAGATTCTCCCAGGTACTAGAAGACTTTTTTACATTCTCCTGAGATGGAGAACTCTGGTTGTTTTTTGTCATCCCTAGCTCTTGCAACCTGGTTATAGGGCATAGCTCATTCTTAATTTTTTATTTAAAAATTTCCACTAATATTCATTAGACATAGTGGTCTGTATCACTTTTCTGTCTCTTTTTTTTCCTATATATTTTTGGTATCAATAGCATGTTTTATCAGAGAAAGAATTTTTTGAAATGCTTTATGTAACATTGGAATTAATTATATATGAATGTTTGATATAGCTTGCTTGTGAATCCATCTGATACTGGTGTTTTTTCTTTGGATGTTTGTGCATGAATTCCTTTTGAAATTGGTTTATCTAAATTTTCTGTTTTTTGAATTTGAGCATGTTATATTTTTGTAAATATTTTATAAATAAGTTTCATTTGTCACTGTTATTGTCATATAATTGGGCAAAATCATTTGTAATACCTTCCTTCAAGCCTTGTCAGTTTTCCTTTGCTATTATTTTACTTTCTTTTATTAATTACACTATCCAGTGGTTTTTCTGTTTTAATCAAAAAATACATTAGCTTTTAGTGTTATTTATCGATTTAATCATTCTTTCACTTTCACTGTTGTAAATCTTTTTTTTGGTTTTCAGAATTTCTTTTTGATGTTTAGTTTTTTTCTGGATTTGTTGTCATTGATCTCTTCTTTCTCCCTTTATTGTTTGAAAATAGTAAAAAGATATCCTTATAAAGTTTGTTTTGACCGCGTAACCTAAATTTCCCTGTATTCTGTTACTGTCATCTTTTTCTCTGATGACGTTATGCATTGTTTTTATGTTTTTTTCTTTGACCGTCAAATTCTTTATGTTTAAGGCATTTCATCTTCAGTTATTTTTCTATAGTATTTTATACCCTTTATTGAATATGATTTTTATTGTAATTGTCTTTAAAGAATTGTTTAATTCTGCTTTTCTACATTTGTTTATGAGGATTTTATGCCCTATCACATGGTCATCATATGTGCTAAGCATGCTGAGAAATATACTTATTTTCTTTTCCCATATAATATGACCAGGTATCTTATCATTTCTAATCCTATTTTAGGCCTTTTTAAAAAAAACTTTTTTAAATTTGTGCAAATCTGAG